TTTGAGCACAATGAACTTATTGCTACGACTTCGCTGAAATGTTGAAGAAACCAGTTTGACATGATTTGAGCTTTGTGACGTGGTGTGTGAGAAGATGGCTGGATGGACATGGTCAGCAACAATACTTGGGTAATCTCTGGAGTTTAAGCAATGTTCAAATGGTACTAAGAGGGCAAAGGTGTGCCAAGATTGTATCCCCCACATCATGACATCACCCCCACCAGCCTGAACTGTCACTAAAAGGTAGAATGGATTCATGCTTTCATGTTATCCATGCCAAATTCCAACCCTTCCATCTGAATGCCACACCAGAAAGACTCTTGAGATCAGGTAATGTTTTTACAGTTGAACTGGAGCCTCACTTTCCTGTTCTGAGCTGGCAGGAGTGGCACCTGGTCAGATGTTCTGATGCTGTAGCCCATCTGCTGCAAAGTTGTTACTCAGAATTGCTCTATATTAGTATATATCAATATCTATATCAGCTTAAAAGAGAATATCTTAATGTTGTGTTATACTGCTCATCCTGTCCTTGTGTGCCTAAAACCTCCACAGAATTGTTTGTTTGACAAAAAGTTTCATCTCTCCAGCTGTTTTGAAGCTCTTTTACATATTATCTGCCTATAGAAATAGATATAAATATTGAATGCAAAAAGCCTGAACAACTGTTCTTTATGTCCCAGCGGAGTTTCTTATCGGATAATAAATCACTCTCATCATCAGGTGAGCTGCTGGTAATGACAGCGCGACCTCTGGTGAGCTTCTATATATAAATCTTTAGTAGAGGAACTTAGTGACGCATAGAGGACAAGAGACAATGTTCCCTCAGAGAGAGAGTCTGTCCTTTCTCTCCTCTTAAGAACATAAAGGCATGTGCGACCGCTTGGTTTCCTTTTGCTTAATGCTGTAAAACACCAATGAAAAGTAAACACACACAGATAGATAGATAGATAGATAGATAGATAGATAGATAGATAGATAGATAGATAGATGTGCATTTTGTATGTCACACAAATACATCTGCCTTTTTTCCCCACTTCTCATACTTCCTTGTTTAGACTGGCCTGTTTTGTATAGGACATTATGAATGTGTCCATCCCTATGAGGACAGGCTGTAAGTATAGGGTTGCATCTAAAGCATCACCGTAGGACGGACGCATCTCACGGTGTCAGAAATTTAAAAAAAGCAAGCACACGCAGGACACTCATTGAAATACATGCAGATACACACACACACACACACACACACACACACACACACACACACACACACACAGGTTGTACAGCATGACCTTGATGTTGTTCATTAGCTTTACAGGAAGGCTGGACAAGACAATGTGAAGAGTGAAGAAGGTGACTTTGTGTTGGCAGGATCCCAGACTTGCTCTGTCCGCTGCTCTGTGATCTGTTACCTGCATTTGCAGGGTTCTGTGTTCTGCTTATCTCTGCAAATAATTTTGACCTGGATTTTTTAAAGGTCTGCTGGGTAGAGCTGTCTCCTTTAACGCTGCCAAGTTATGGTCGAAATCTCATTCCCTTATTCCCCCAAGTCCCTAAAACACACAGGAATGACTTGCCAGAACTTTGTGTTTATTTTGAGGGTTCAGTAGGACTTTATAACAATTTCACACTATTAAGCATTAGTAGGGTATTTGGAACTACTTATTTATATATCATTACTCCTCCTTTTTATGCCATTTATAAATGCAGATATGTTTATCCCACTGTTACTGTTACACATGTACAGCTATCACCCTGAGTCATGTAGAGTGACTCTCACAGGTATCCTCAAAGAGTTAAAGAGTTGTGTGTTCGCTGGACAAAAACACATTGTTCCTCCTGAAACTGAGGTTTGACTCTCTTCTCCAGCACCTTAGCAATTCACAGAGCACAGCAGGAGCAGTTGTGTGAAGTCTTTTCTAAATTAAATACAATAGTCAGACTATACACTTTATTTGTATCTCTTGACATCAATCCTTCTGTGTAGGTTTGTCTACAGTAAATAGTGTTAAAAGAAAAGCGAAGTGAGAGGTTGTAGTGTCTCAACTGGGTATTTACTTTTGAGTAGTAATTTTATCTTTTACCCACTTCCTTTGGGCTTCAATGCTTGACCTTTCTTTACCAATTGTATCACAATGTCAACAGTTTAATTCTTGTGATAAAACAGGAGGAAAAAAAGACATTAAAAAAGAAGAAAGAAGAGAAAGAGAAGAAAGAAAACATTAGAATATGCTGATAAGCATAGACTTGTTTCCCTTAAATAATTTCCATTTCAAAAGCCACCAGCACGAGAAAGCTGCTTCAACTTGAGCTTGCAAGTGCAAAACAAATGCACACTGGAAGATGCAGTTTTTTATATGCATAATTTATTTCTCACTGACACTGTTATTGAACAAATACACATTTTGAAGCCTGGCACCTCCTCCTTTGGACTGACACAGATACATTAAAACCAGTGGCACATAGGACAACACTTAGGGCAACATTAACAAGCTGAACTTGTCCAGATACTTTACATTATTCCACTGAATTTAGCAATGCTTTCATGCCAGCGCAACATAAACATGTTTTCCGAAATATGTCCCATACTGCATGTGGAACAGCAACACGATACCTGAATCCACAAAATAATTCGATTGCACTGGAATAATCTGAGCCGCAATACCGCACGTCAGAAAATTCACATTGCTTTGTCTCTAAACATCCAGCAGGGCATCCTATGATGTAAACAAATTCACTTATGAAATGTCATTGCCATGGATCTAAAAATACAAAAACATTAGACTCCACCTAAAACTGAAATAAAATTTATAGATCAGTCTGACAATTGAAGTGAACTTTTTTTGATTGAACCAACATCCATCCTAATACGGAGCTTGTGCGTCACTGGTTTCAGTAGCAATTACTTTATATGACCAAGCTTATCATTAAAAATTTTTAAAGAAATTGTCAGTCATATTTACATTTAAAACAATCAGCATCAAGCATATATATTTTTAATATTTAAATTTTAAATAAATCATCAATAAAAGTCAATTTCCTATTTAAATTCCGCCTTAACCTGCTACTGGTTCTTCTGAAAGTGGTTTAATAGTTATAGCTACTGAAGGATTTCCTTATCAAGCCTTTCAAAATAAAATTAAAAAAAAATCTATGAATCTGTTTCACTAATATAACAAAGGTTATTAGCAGCCAGGGATGTCACTTCAATCAAGGTCGAATGCACATTTTCTTTCCATTTTAGGGAAGCCGAGGATGAATTATGAGTGCTGTGCAGTGGTGCACATGCAAATGGAGGAAAAACTCATCTGAAAGTTTGTACTACATATAAATTAGATTAGTCTGGATAGTTTAAGCCAGAAGGCCTGTCTGTAACTGCAATGTAAACGTTATCACTGTTGGTCAACTGTGTGTACTCTTTAGCCCAAGCGTGCAGCTTGAATTCATTGATTATTTTTTAAGCAATACATTTTTCATTTAGCAGTATGTATGCTCACATATTCCAGTAGCTACTGTTAATTGCATGCACATACATTTGTCTGAAGGTTGACACTGATCTTCAGCTCCACAACATAAAATAATGGAAAATAATAAACTTTCAAACTTATCTGAAGGATTTTAAGATTTCTTTTTGATATCCCGCCGGAGGCAGGTTTATTTGCTGCGTGTTGTAAAAAATAAAATAGAAAACATGGCTCATGGTATACAACAACTCTACTGTAAGCCTTCTTGCCATCACAGTTTACAAGCTGAGGTACTTCATAAGGCTTTTTTTAAAAATTCCTTTAAAAATTGAACACCATAATAAAGACATTTTCAAAAGACCATTAAGCCTCTGTCCTTTTAATCGCCATCCTGCTTCTTCTATATATCCCAAAGTGGGGATATATTCTTAAGTGCATTTGAGTTTCGACCGCTAATAGCACTCAGCCATGCAGAGCGTGGTCTGTTTGAGGATTTCTCATAAATATTCAACGGCATCTTTGTGAATGATTCCTGGCACGCTGGAAAAATTGTCCAAAAATCCAAGTCATCAAATTTTGTTGATAAAATCCTTATTAGCCACACCACCCACAGACATCCGATTTGTCAGCTTGTGGGTCTTGCATTTTGGTTCAGACTGAAGACAAAAACGATTTGCTGGCCAGATTGGCCGATGCAAAAGTCTGCTGTGGCTGAATCCTGCAGATGCTTGAGATCTTCAGCACCCCGAAGTTTCTTCTGATCAGACACTTCACATCATCATGATGATACTTCATGATGATCATAGCCAGATTGCTAGGGCAGAATAGGACATTAGCATGCTAACATCTGCATGCACTGTAGCTGCGTGGAGGCTGTTAAACTGCAGCTCTAAATACAAAACATGAACCTGATGTGTTAACAGGTTTTTGAAATGAAAGAATCTTTTATGTAATGTCCAAAGTTTTTTGTTAGCAGACAAAATCGACAGCATGAGCTGTCCTCGGGTTTTACTCTCAGACTACACTTTACTTTTTGCATCACCAGTGGTGAGAATCTAACCAGTGGTTTGACCATCTTTCATTCACCTAACAATTTTGTGTTTTGCTGCGTAAGCATTTCATCCTCCCACATATCTGTTCACATGACCACAGGCCCTGTGTTTTGTTATTTCATTTATCCCATCCTCATTCTGCCTTTTTGATATATCACCTACTGACTGAACCCCGTGCATCCGCAGCCACTGGTTGCATCTGATTTCAGCCCGTTAGGCCGTCAGAAACGAGACCCTGGAACTCTTAGGAGCTGCCGGCCTCTCACTGAGCTGATCAGTTTGGACCTGCTACTACTTGTTCCAACTAGTTAAGTTATTTCCTGAGGATGGTCATCTGTAGACACTCCTCCTTCAGAGCCACCAGTTCCGTCTTGTAGTTATTGGTCTTGCCTGGATCAGCATACACACAAGGCTGCTTCTTTGTTGACAGCGGTGTGTCCATGGTTACTGAACCAGCATTGAGAATGTCAGCATGTGAAGGCGAAGAAGAGGGCCGCCTGTTGCAGGCCACTGACAGTAAAGCCGACAGAGCTCGGCCGACATCATTCCTAGCTCCCTCGTTAACGAAACAGTACAAAATAGGGTCAGCTACGCAGTTCAGGCTGGTCAATGCCAACGATACATGGTACGCTGCAAACAAGGTTTCCTCTGAGCTGCAGTCACATGGCTTCTGTAAAAACATGACACTCCGCACCAGGAGGAGGACGTGATATGGTCCAAAGCAGAACAAAACAATGAGAATCAAACTCAAAGCTAACCGCTGAATTTTGGCCTTTTCCTGGCGCTCTGTTGAGACATTGCAACGCACTGCTGCAAGGATCCCTCGGTAGGCGACCAGCATTGCCGTCCACGGAGCAAGGAAGCCAAGAAATGACCTGTAGAGGTTCATGCCTGCTACCCAGTCCTGCATCGGATATTTCTCAAAGCAGAAGGTGTGATTGAACCGGTCCTGGAAGAGCTCATCATGGAAGAGAGGAGCAGAGTTTGCTACAATCTCAATGATCCACACAATGGTGCTGACGAGGATAGCTGCAGGAAGCAGAGGAAAGACAAAGAGAGCAAACATTAAATACCGTGGTAACTTCCATTTCTATATCTCATGTACATTTTGGTCACTCTGTGGACGTCCAATTCCCTTATTTATTGAATTTGAGCATTGCAATATGTGCTGGATCTTGTCCATTTCTTGAATTTCATTCTTGTAACACAGACAAATTATAGGAAAGCATAAAACCTCAGTGTGTATAGTGTATGAACCACTGATTGTTCAAACACCACAAGCCATTACAGTAAGTCTGAGCCATCGATCCATCCATCCATCGATCCATCCATCCATCAATCCATCCATCCATCCATTTAGTCTATCCCCACTCTCACAGGGCGAGAAGCACACCACACCCTGGACATTTCAGCAGTTTACCGCAGGGCTGACAGAAAATCCGACAACCATTCACACTCATATATACATGCCTACAGCCAGTTTGGGTCATGGGGACAAATTAATTGTCACAAACACATGAGAGAGGCATCCTTGGAGTGATCTAAAAACAGCTGGAAGTGGTCCAGAGGTGAATGGGAAGATGACTTGATTGACGCGAGTAAAGAGATCCAAGTTTTTTAGTGCAACATGTTTTTTAGATTCAGTTTCTTTGGTCAAGTTTATGTTGCATACAAACCTGTTTTGATTCGTCGAACTTTCACAAAGCGCAGAGGGTATGCCACAGCCAGGTACCTGTCCAGTGATATGCAGCACAGGAACGCGATGCTGACATAGATATTAGTATAGAAGATGAAGCCAAATAGCTTGCAGCTCTCCTGACCGTGGATCCAGTTATCGTGATGCAGGAAATAGTCGATCCACAGAGGAAGAGTGGCAATGTAGAGGAGGTCAGCCACCGACAGGTTAATCAGGTAGATGCCGAGCTCATTGCGTTGGCGTACCTGGTGCAAAGGGGAAAAGGTGAAGATTCAAATCTGAACAAGAAGACTAACATGTTTGCTTAAAATTGGTGAGCCAGCTATCCTTTGCATGCAATCTCTGCAACAGATCAGAGAATGCAAACAAGGTGCGATGCATATTTGCCTCAGCTGCAAATGATTTGGTTTCCTGGAAGTCAAAACGCAGGAGAATTTGAAAGGCTGATTGTGTTTGGTCTGAATATTAGCCCTTTGTTACCTTTAGTGTTGTGCAATGAACATCTGGCTCACACATGCCTTAGAAAATGTTTTTGGCTGAACACTGAATTACTGCATATACAAAGTATTTAGGTATAACTGGTATTCAGTTTGAGTACTATCATTATTGAAGCCGGTGATCTGGTTAATGCTGCAAAGCGTGGTAGCAACAATGACCATAATGCACCTGACCGAGCACTCCTATGGTCATCTGAACTGTAAAAATGTGCCCTGATGCTGACATGAAAGACAAATAATGTAACATGAAATGTTGCTTACTTTAATGATGGCTCTTTCTGAAAAACACGAGTTGCTGAACTTTATGAATAAAAGTCAATAACAATCCTTCCTCTTGCTGCCAAAGCAAACTGACAGTCTGTGGGAAACGCAGTACAAGTTTGATGCTGTGTGAGAAAATATCCCAAAGGCTCTTTTGACCGTATCTGGCAGGCAACGTTGAACATGCGACGTAATTGACAAGCGTCATTAACCACAATTGTGTGTTACCCTTAGTTACGCTCAGTGCTGTGTTGCTTTTTGTGAACTGTTTTGTTTTTAGTGCAGTAATAGGAATGTTTCGGGATTTCTACAAAGGGAACCCCAGAAACCACCAGAGTTTGATTTTGTGCTGATTCTTCTTACTGGATTTGTCATAATCCAACAACTATGGCTAGAAAAAAAGATATTTCAATGACTTATACGTATGCCAGACATCTAAAGTGGATGAACACTTGGATTGTTTTTACTATGCACTTTGGGAATAAACAGAAAGATTAGCAGGGAGATTTCCTTGGAAGACAAAAAAGACCCGAAATAAGACCTATTTGTTCCCAAAATGGCTCGTGAAACCAAAGTGGCAGGTTCTAACCCCAATTTGGAAACCACTGTCTGATACATTTGAGGCCATTGGAGGTGGAAAACTGTGGGTTTGTGTCCCTCACCTGCATGTAGGCGGCCCACAGGGCCATGCAGTTAGTCGGCAGCCCAAGAACGATGACTATGATGTAGAGTGTGGGCTGAAAGAACTGGTCCACCTTACTGTCCACATTACAGAAGGTGATGTTGCACATTGTCATGTATCAGACTATCTGCAGGTGTGCGAAGTGTGTTCAGCTACTCTCAGCTTTGCGTTTTTCCCTTCTGTAGTTTCACTATGTTCCAGCTCCAGCAGTTTGACAGTGACATGATGACTCTGACGTCCTGCTCAGCAGTCCCACACGAGGCAATGGAGGAAAACATACGTGTTATTTCCAGGGAATGTCATATCTCCTATTCTTTAAACCACCGTCCTCTTGACTTGACATGTTATAATCCTCTTTCACGCTTCCAGGCCGGCCTTTGTCCTTCAGTATAAGAGGTGAAGAAGGGAAGGAGTGAGCTATATAATGTGCTGAAATGAAAGCTGCCTTATCAATGCCATGCCAGGGTTCCTGAGCCTGGAGAAGACCTCATCAATCTTTTAGAGATTAGAGGTCTGCCAGGTCTACCGTGAGAGCGATGAGCCTGAGCATCACTTTGTGTGTGCCGTTGTGTCTCAAGGTCCTGATGACACACAAAACCCCTCAGAGATGCTGCCGGTGAGCTTCGGTGGACTGGATCTGTTTATTCACAAGTCCTGAAAATCTGCAAGAAAGAGAAAGAGAGAGCAATAAGTTAAGATAATTTGTAATTAGAAAATGTTTTTTTAATTTGTTTTTGCATAATAATATAAATACTGAAACACAAATATATTAAAAAAAAAACTTGTAGGGGTCTATTTATCCAACATTTATCCAAGGCCATTTAAACAAGTGGTACATCTTATAGTACTGTCATATCTTTTGGACCATTTATGTCTATTTTGCTGACAGTTTTGGTATTTGGGGGAATTTGGGAAAGCATGAATTTGGAATAACTGTGACTAAAACTTAAAATATTTAACTTTTTTTTGCAGAAATTTACATTCCCCAGAGCTTGTACTGGTCAAAAGACAGTTTATTCTATCTTGTCTTGCATCTATTTGCCTTTTACATCGATTTTTAATGTGCAATAACTGAAAACTCCCACAAGCATTTTCAGGTATTTGCTTTGGATATTTGAACTGAATGGGATCCTTCTCCTGGTGAAAACAGACCACTCAAAACTGCGTGGAATGAACACACCCTTCACATAACACAACAAGCATTTGTCTACTAATATATTGAATTTTGCTGCTCCAAACATTCAGAAAAGTGTGTGCAAGAAAAGACAAAGCATGTGAAACAGTGAATCTCTACTACCCAGCACAATAACACAGCACATGCTGACAAACCGTACAATCACAAGGCTTTTGCATAACATGCAAAGATAAAGTCAGAGAGAGACAGAGTATTCACCCAAACACATACAATGAGAGAAGGAGCAGGACGAGAAGCTGATTACCTCTTTAATTTCTATATTTCACGCATTGGATAACTTTGATGTATTTTTTTTAAATCAAATATATTTTTGAACATTATGAATTAGAGCAGGGCGATATGACCAAAAATATTTATCACGATATAGATTCGAAAATTTGCGATAACGATATAACTGACGATATAATTGACACTAGACAAAACACTTTACAACTCCACAACTTTATTAGTGCAAAAAAAACCCCAAAACATCAATGTATTTTCACTTAAACAAGCAGCTGTTTTTTATGTGCATTAAAGTTATATAAAAATTTAACAGTGAAATTCCTTGCTGACAGTTTAATCAAAAGGCATTTCCAGTGGAAATTGGCCGACATATCCTCAGCATAACCATGTAT